ATAAAAGTGAACATAAAGAAGGTAACAGAAATACATAACAACACATAAACACTGAGCATGATCAAAAAGAAAGACTTTTACAATGTAGCTGACAAATGGAGACTATGGTATAGATTGTACATCAAACCAACCGAGGGGTCAAAGTACCCATTAATATAATGGTCACTCAGGCACGGCTGGCTGCCGGCGGAGCTCACGGGCGCGTCACTGCAACTCCCCCTGGCTTCTGCTCCGCGGCTGCTGAGTGAGCCCTCATCTGGGACTCTCCTCAGCTCTTTCTGGGACAGTGGCGCGGCTGCCCCTCTGTTGGTCTTCCTTGGTCTCTTGTGTTCTGGGGGCCTCTGGATGTCTGGAGTTTTGATCTCCTCCATACCTGCTTCATGCCCTGGAGGACAGGGCTGTGGCCCCCCCACACCCTCTAGCAGATCATTACATGAAGGAACCTTTTAAAAACAAGCGCGTCCATGCTCACAGGTGTACACACGGGTGATCACACCCACAAACTACACCCTTTTTGGCTCCTACCTCAAAGCACACTGTGTTCTGTTGATCTTATGTGCTGCACAATAATGTTTAACATTTAGTATTTACTGTCATATTCACATATATCATTGTGATGTTGTTTATTCTATTACTCTTGTTCTCTTCTGCTTGTTTTCTTTTTTCTTTCTCAACAGGTGAAATTAGAAAAAATAAAAAATAAAAAATAAAATGCTCTCATGTTCGATAGAAGAGTGATGGCAGGATTCCACGATATCAGAGAAGACGAGATTGTCTCTCGCTGAGCAAATTGGTAGGTCAAGAACCATTTGTTTAAATTGTGTCTTTGGATGCTGTGGTTATTTTGTCTGTGGGAGTTTTGACCAAAGCTTCTAACTGCTTGTTGTCTTCAGTTACAGTCAGTATTTGCTTATGACAAATGTTTTATTTCTTGGAATTCTTTGAGTAGCAACTTGAAAACAGGGATTCTTGCGTTTAGAGTTTTCAGGTTCTTGTCGATGGATAAAAGAATATCACTGACCTCTGAAGATGAGTTTGATGGTTCTGTCTGAGTGGGTGAACTGGTAGATGAGTCTGATGAACCAGGTGTTTTGAAGAGAGAGTGGAGCTTGTTGTAACTCTGTGTCCTTTTTTCTTGCCCCGTGTGGGGAGTTGGTCATCACACCCAACAATATATTGTTCCAGTTTGTCCAGTTTGAAGAAGTAGCAGGAGAAAACAATGATCTTCTTTAACAGTTATTTTGTTAAATGAATTTATTCTGTTGTACTCAGTAACTGTTTATGTCTAGCAACACACCAGGTCTTGTGGGAACAGCAATCAGAAAGCTTTGTGTCATGTGTCAATGTGTGGCTGCACCCACATGCAGACATCCAGGCAGGACTGAACTCAGAACGGCTTTATTGCTGCAGCTCGAGGAGCAAAATAAAAGAAAGACTAAACAGGAATTAAGCACTTACTGGTTAAAAAGCTGCTGAACAGGGAACACCCGGGGAAAGTATGACGACGATTTGACAAAGACCAGAGGGAGATGCAGGCAGTAACCACACAGGAAGGAATCAGGGAAGAGAGGAAACACCTGGGGAACATGGCTGAACGGAATCTAACTGACAAGGGACGGGAAGCAAAACTGAACATAATGCACACGGGACAAGAGACTATCAAACTAAGACAGGAAACATAACAAACTCAGAGACTCAGGCTCGAGACACAAACTGGAAACAGCAACAAAGTAACAGAACACAAACACATGACTGAAAGAGGACACAAAAGCTTAAACAACTAACTAGGAGACAGAGCACAAGGAAAGAGAGACATGGAGACATGACAGGAACCAAAGATGAAGGTAATTAGATATCACTAACTGAGAACACAGAAAAAACTAATAGACCACAGACTATGAACCTAATATGGAACTGTAAGCTATCAGACCAGAGGTAACATGAGGGTGACATGAGAGGGGACTAAAACTGTTACAAACCAATGACTAAGAATATAAATAACAAAACTCAGAAGCAGAAATGAGAATGACATTAAACTATGAAGGCTAAATGTCAGAGCTAGAGCCCAACTTATTTCAAGCTGAAAATATAAATCCAAAGTCACTAAAGTCAGAATACATAACCTAAAAAGCTCCTAACAGGTAGCTGTAGCTCATGCTTGGTGAATAAACTGAATTTTATCCTCAAAATATTTCATGTGGTTTGGGTGAGAAACTGCTTTCAGGGAGGAGGACACATGGCACCTGTTCACGTTCACGTTTTTAAAGTATGATTCAGACAGTTAGGGAAATTAGAATTGTTGGTCCAGGCTGATGTGACCATCTCAGAACAGCAGATCTTACAGGAGGGTGTGATGTCTACTGCTGAGGACAGATGCACTGTAGAATGTCACACACTGAGGAAGTGGACATAATAAAAATGAAAATTTCAAAACCACGCCACGTCATGGTCGGTGCCAAAAATGTTTCATTTCCCATCCTTCATTGCATTTTTTTCATTGCTGTGATTATTTATCAGAAATGTTTTTCAAGGGCCTTGGCATATGTTAAGAAGTATCTGCCCAGCAGTGATCGAACTGTGATTGACCCCATTTTTGGAAGGTCCTTAATAAATGAACTCATCATTTAAAACTGCACCTTGTATTTAATCTGGTTATGTTTGTCAAATATAAACATTTGTTCAAATGAACATGTATTTGTGACAAATATGCAACAAAATTAGAAATTAGGAGGGTGACAAAGACTTTGTCACAGCACTGTACCAATGCATGGTGTCATGGTGGCAGAAATGTGATTCCTTTGTTGTTTTTCAAATACTTGTGCACTTAAACTGAAAAACTTACAAAAACAATCAAAGCTGGAGGTGAAAATGTGCCAAACCCAAACTTATTGTGTTTTATCTCTTGTAGCTGGTGTAAAAATCATTATGAAAACTTCAGTGCTTCATCATAAAGTCCTTACAATACTTGTTTCATATATAATAGCATCAGCACAGAAGGAATATCAAACGTTGTACGGTTTTCAGGGGATGGAGTGTGTGTTTGTTTGTGCCCAGGTCACTGCAGGGTCATTTCTGTCTGATGCTCACTAATTACGCTCTTTGCATTCTCCTGTTTTCACCCAAGGCCAGACTCAGGCCGTTAGAGTTTGTATTAGTTTTCATCAGGACCAGAAAAATCCTCTTTTTTTATGGCCTGATACACACTAACCAGCATACCAGATAAAGTCTTGTCAGTAGATGGCTAACTCACAGCTCTATCAGATCAAAATGTGAAGAGTAGGAACCGTGTCATATGGCATCATGTCTTTTACCTGCTAACGTGGCAGTTATCTGTAAGTGGACGTGCCAAATATCCTCCGGCATGATACCCCGACTAGTAAGCACTTAAACATAGCAGAAAGTGCTTGTGTGAATGGGTGAATGTGCATAAAGTGCTTGGAGTGCTCCTGGAGAGTAGAAAAGCGCTATATCGGAATCAGTCCATTTACCATTCAAGTTGATAAATGGACCAAGTTTTCTTGAAAGCGTCTTTTTCCAAACAGCTTCCATGGTACTTCTTGTAATACTCCACCTGGGGCTTTATGTTACTTCTTGTTCATTAAAGGTCAGCGTGTGGTAGATGCAGTCTGCTTCCATTAGCAGAGCAAGGCTACGTTGAAAAATTCCAAAATATAAATCAAGCTGTCTTGTATGAGATCTGAATGATTTCTTGATGATTGGAACAACAATAAATGCCAGAATGATGAAGAATGATGCTCAGTTTCACATGACTCTCCGCCTTTCAGGAAGTTCATCAGCCTCCGCAGTACTGCGATTGTTCAGCAGCAAAAGGTAAACGTTTTTCTGGCTTTAATGATTAACAAGCATTTCAGCCTGTTGTTTGTTAAAGCATTTCTAGCAGCAGCATTTTATTATGCAGAGCGCAAGAAGCTAAAAAACGGATTAAAGCCCCGCCTTAGCTTTAAATGAAATGTTGCATTTTAAAAAATGAATGTGCTCTGTTCTTCACAACTTCCTGCTACTGCCTGATCAAAAAAGCATAGTTTGTCACAGCAGGCTGAAAACACTGCAACAAATCAATCAGCTGTCCAGTGAAATCTGGCAGTCATGCAATTAAAACAACATAGCCTCCAAAGAGAACAAGTTTAGCTCTCTTTGGAGGCTAATTTTGACATAACTTTACTAAACACCGTCTTGGTGGTGGGATTAAACAATGTTCACTCCTGGCCATGAACATACTCTTAGCTTTAATTGCTTCTCCATTTCTCATAATGATCCTTATTATAGAGCAGTAATTTATGCAGAAATTTGAAATAGTACTTGTTCAACTATCAGAGGATATTTTTCTTCCTATCTTTTTCTTTTCTGTGTTTGTTCCTTTAATGTAAAAATGTGAGGATGCAATTATTGTTTTCACTACCCAATCAGCACCTAACCCAGACATAAGTTGTTTTTTATTATTTGCTCCAAGAACATTTTTCAAATGTCAAAACATGAGTACTCTTAACAGCATGGGGTCAAGGGTTATGATTACTTAGCCCTCACAGGATTTAACCTTCTGGCCTGATGAAGAGCACTCAAACTTGAAGCCAACTGCAGTGTAAATGTATTTTGTAAATAAAAAGGGCATTTACCCAAATGCAATGCTACTAAGCTCAGAGTGAGAAAAGGCAAAACACAAGTTTTCATAGTCATGTCACCTTTAAACCACTGACAAAGCTAGATTTGAAATGTAATAATAACATTTATTATATGAGAGAACATTTCTTCTTTTTGCCTTTCAATAAACCGGTTGACATATTATTAAATTAGCAACACTGAATTTCCAATTTTGCTTTTAGTGTTACTTTCCTGGGCAGCACGGTGGCACAGTGGTTAGCACTGCGACAGACTGGCGACCTGTCCAGGGTGTACCCCGCCTCTCGCCCTATGACAGCTGGGATAGGCTCCAGCGCCCCCCGCGACCCTGAACAGGATAAGCGGACGCGAATGGATGGATGTTACTTTCCTTAAAACCTTTGTGCAGTCTGACCAACTGAGAGTCAACAATCAACCCAGTTACCAGGTGGCGGTTTATTCAAATCGTGACACTGTTTTCATGACACATAAAGCATTACTTAGCTCCCGAGACATTTTGACACCACAACGTGGACACGTGGTCATCTGCCGTGACGACATTACATTTACAACAATAAACTGTAAGAGAAAGACGGAGAAACAGAAGAGATCTTCACATACGCCTGGTCCTGTAACCACAGATACTCTGTAATATCAGACACAATGGCTGTTTGTATCCTTCCAGAGGTCACATTGCACATAAATATTTTTCCTTAAATAAAGCAAACACCTCAAGACCCTGTGTGTGAATCTGTGTATGTGTTTGTAATTTTGTGTAATTCTGTGTGTGGGAGTCGCACACGTCCTGGTCTGATCTGGTAGAACATAACTCAGCGGTCTGCGCAGATGGACCACTCGTTCATTCCACCACCGAGTCCAACAGATGACCTTTCACGGACATCAAACATGACCACTGACAAAGCAGTCTGTGGTTCGTTTGTGGACCTTAAGTTAGAATATAAAGTGGGATTTTGCTGATTGATGGTGTGTGTGTGTGTGTGTGTGTGTGTGTGTGTGTGTGTGTGTGTGTGTGTGTGTTAATCCTAAATTACAGCAAACTGTCATTGCCTTCGCGTCACACCTGAACAGAGCCTCACGCAGCGTCTCTGTAGCTACTGTTTGTGAGGGAAGCCTCGACAACCTTAGGAAGCCAGGCCGACTCCCGTTTCAGTTCGCCTGGACGCTCTCTCCTATTCGCAGTTCGACGGCCGAGCTTGAGAAAGGAAGGAGTGCTGTCAACCTGCGACAGGAGACATTGAGGCAGAGACGGACTACTGCTTCAGTTCCAGAGCCCAGACATGCTGAGGCCATCCCGTCCGGCCCTTACTTTTCTTATCGCCCGCTGACGAGGAGGACGACGAGGAGTTGGAGGACGAAGTCTTGGAGATCTCCACCTGTAAAAACATGAAATTTATCCTTATTATTTTATTTATTGATACATCTACTCTTTCTTTCGATGCGCAATACTTCAGACTACTACTACTATACCGAACGCACCTAAATTTTATTGATGTCTTGAATGTCTTAAATTGTAGCCAGCCTATGTCACTGTGTAAAATAATGACAACGATGAGAAAAACCCCAGCTACTGTGTACCACGCCGGGACAGTGTATTAACGAATGGGTGGAATAGCCACTGTTAAAATAAAATAAA